GTACAGGAAGAATCATGTTCTTTGATATTCTTCTATCATTGCATAAATACCAAGAATTGACAGTCTTTGATTTGGTGAATTTGGTTATATATTAATTTAAGATGAAAAAAGCTTTGATTTGTTTGTGTTTTTATAATGCAATTTTAATTTTGTGTCGCACAAAATGTGTGAGATGGCAGCAACATCTATCTTCTCTATTGGAATCACATGTTCCCTTGGTCATAAGTGTTAGATTTCTATAATATTCATGATCTTTCACACAACTTGTGTTGACGCAGAAAAATGGTTCGGCATTTTCCCGCGCAACTTAGTGATGTTATGCCTTCGGTATGCTCTGGGCCTCAGTAGGGCGTTCGATCTGCAAGATAGCAAACGCTCGGTAAGACGTAGGGCACCGGTGTGGTACCAGCCGAAGGCTCTCCGATGCTTAAATAAGTACGGATTTGGTAAGATTGAACTACAGATCAATAGGCAATATGCCGTAAGTTCTGATTGATTACCTTCAAGCTGGGACAGTTGTCCTCTTTTATAGGCCTTGGGAGGTGTGCAATTTGTTTAGAGTTTCGATGTGGGACTATGGACATCAATTGTGGAACTGCCACGTGTCCCAGGGGGTGAGGTTGCCCTAATCGAACGATCGGTAGTAACGATACCGAAGCTAGGTGCCGAAGGCTCCCATAGCTCTAGTTTGGCCCACGTGTCCGATGTTCATTGGCTGTTCATTTTGGTATAAACAACTTGAAATACATATAAGACATATATGGCATCATCTCCTTTGAGTACACAATCTCAGAACTTATTCAATTGCAGCAGCGGCAACACGAGCAAAAGGAACGAACGACTCTACTCGCTCTCAGAAACTACTTTAACTCTCTTTTTGTGATGAGATTAAGGTCAGAGAATGTGTCTGATGAGAGTAGGGTCTTAAGCTTATATAGGATTAGGTCAAGTTGTCTCTACTACTCATCACCAAGGGTCCACTTGACTAACACTCTAAGCCCATCAAACAATGGTTCATGTACAAAAGAAAATAAATAGGACCCCTTTAATTGGCTTCAAAACTTTCCTTATTTCACAAGGTATTGGGCCTCAAGGTATAACCCAATTTAAACTCTTATCAAACCTCATATAACTTAGTATATAGTGCACCAATCTAAATAGGAATATAACATTCTCCCATTAGATCAAGCACTAGAGCACTAAGCTTTTGTATTGCAAAAGTTTGATAATATTTATTGGCCATGAGTTTAAAACAATTAAGTCATTCCCTTCAAGCTACAGTGAAAAGCGATTAGACAAAAATGAACTATAGACAAGCACTGCTCTTCTTTATTAAAAACGGGTCATCTATAATCACATAATGCAATATCAAAATACATGAAGCACCACCTACAAACGCGAACCTTAACATGTACTGACCCATAATGTGAATCTTTATACTTTTCAGTACATGTATCCCTTTACGACTTAGTAAGAGTCAATCTGCAATGTTATTAAAACAATAGTATTTCAAAAGAGACCATAAACTCACATACATAAACAAAATGCATAATAAGTTTAAATAGCAAAATAATCAAAATGGTAGAAAACATTCAATAATTAAAACTGTCAAGCAAATTAACATCCTTAAATACAAATCCCTCAATCCAGAAAACAGAAAAAATTAGACATACTAGAAAACTATCAAAATGGGAACAAGACTCCCACTAGATTGCAGCATCAAAGCTAGGAAATAATCTCATATTCTCAACATGTCTTAGAAAACCTTTTGAAGGCAGAAACTTTGTAAACGAATGTGCAATCATATCTTGAGTTTTGATATGATCAAACCTGACTAGTTGTCTGCCACCTTCTCCCTCACTATCAAATACGTTTTGTCAATGTGCTAAAGTCTAAACGACATTTTATTGTTCATGCAGTGAAAAATAGTCGCAATGTTGTCATTGTATATATGCATTGGTCTTGAAATCTATTCCACCACCTTAATGTTTTTGATAAAATTCCTTAGCCATACTACATGAGTATTGGCTTCATAGAAAGTTATGTATTCTAAGAGCATAGTTGAACTCAAAACACCAGTTTGTTTAGCACTCTTCCAAGCTATAGCTGCTCGTGCCATCTTGAAAAGAAAACATGAAGTATAGATGTAATCATCATCTACTTTTCCAAGATTCGCATTAGCATAACCAACAAACTCTAATTTCTTTGTGCGTTTGTAAATCAGCATGTCAACCTTTGTTCTGTCTAGGTACCTCAGAATCTTCTCTCTAGCTATCCAATGTTGCATTCTCATATTTGACTGATCATATCTCCCCATCTTACTAATGCACAAGCCTAAGTTTGGCCTTGTACACAGTGTTGCATTCCCAAATTTCATTCAATTCTATCTCAGTCAACCTAATTTTTCACACCAACAGAAAATTTTATAAGTTCCCTCTCGATGAAGCCATCTTTCCCCATCTTCTCCTCACTTTCAAACCCTCTATCTTCATCTCTATCATATCTCTAAAAAAATTTCTTGATCCCATCAATTCTGACTCAAAATGATGAAGACCCATCCAAAACCAAAACTCATAAACTCTACCCCTTATTCCAAGCTCTCGAACTCTACCCCTAATCCTAACTTGGTTGAACTCCATAACCTAGCTACCTGAGCTTCCTCTCACACCTAATAGCTATTAACGAAGAGGATCGAGCAAGCTTTGTTAATGCTCTCAAGATCAATGTGAAAGCTTCTCAGTCGAACTGTTAAGAACCCATGGATAGAACTTGCTTATAAAAACTGGCTTGTAAGGGAATGGTGCCCGGTGGTTGCCCTTTCGTTCCTTTGAGGTTGCTTCACTCAACTACTAGTATTCAATGACTCAATATCATCTTAAGAAGTTGCATGGTGAAACTAGGCTCTCATACCAACTGTTAAGAAGAACCCATGAGTAGAACTTGCTCCTAAAAATTGACTTGTAAGGGAAGGGTGCCTATGAACTCTGAAACCATTCTATGATATGCTATTTTTCCAATGTGGGATTTTGAGTCCTAACACGAACCCACATAACCAATCTCGAAACTTCTAGTGAACTTTCGTGTGCAGTTGTCGCAGACCATGTTCTCAAGTAAACTTGTCGATCCATTCTGAGTTTTCTATTTTGTTTGGGTTTTATTTCATCTGAATTTAGTTTTGGCAATTTCAAGAAGAGCAACGACGACACTGTGTTCGATGATGGTTGGGAGTTAGATCGTCGTTGTAGGAGCACGATGCTAGCGACTTTGGCATGGGTTCCACCTCCCCTATCTTCTGCTCCATCATTTACTAACTATGTTCCTACCTCAGCCCCATCTTTCCTTTCTTCTCCTTTTTCCTTTTCTCCCTCCCACACTGCTCCTTAAATCTCCACCCTTTTACCCATCATACTGACTTAGGACAACTACCTCTTAGTAAATAACTTTTCCTCCCACTACAACAACAACAACAACAACAACAACAACAACAACAACAACAAAAAAAAAAGAAAGGAAGAAAAAAAAGTGGCTACAGTTACCATTATTTGGCGACACTACATTAGTCACCAAATAATAGTAACTGTTGCCACTTTTTTTTGTAGTGTCCCCATCCTTCAAACTTATGATATGCTTGGCATTATTGATGGTTCTGATCCATGCCTTTCACAATATATCTCTAACCCTAACAATCCCCACAACCCTCTTCTCAAGTCTCAACCCTTCTTCTCTTCACTGGCTAAAAAAGGATCGAACTTGCAAGATTTGGATTAACTCCTCCCTCTCTGAATCCATCTTCCCCTACACTCCTCCCTCTTTTCATGTCCCTTTTGTTTTGTTTTTGTTTTTGAAATTTTTTTTTAAAAAACAAGTGGTTGTAACATGTATTGCATGTGAATATTGCATGTGAATTTTGAAATATTTTTTTGGTGGAATTAAATTTTTTATTTTTTTTTGGTTCCAAGGAACTAAAAGTTTGGGTTATTAAACTTTTGAACAGTTTATAAAAGATAAATTAAAATTTGCACAAAAAATATTTATATTACTATGCACAGTAATTCAAGTACCATCCTGATAAATCACATATTACTATATCTAAAATACATAATACTTTTGAGGTGTCTCTAATAGTATGGGCACCTGCAAAACATTTTTTTTATATATATTTTTACTTAATTTAATTTAAACATATTTTTATTGTACCAATTTATGTTTATTTAATAAAATATCTTCTTTATTCACCAAGTGGAATATATGGGGTTTTGAATGTGCCAACCTTTCTACCTTTATATAGATAGATAAATACAGAAAAATCAAAACAATTTTGTATTACAATTTTTACATGTATGTAATTTATCATATGGGACATAAAATGGGGAAAAAAAACATGTGAAATATATATATATTGTTAGTTATATTAATACCCTTCAAGTTTTTGGTTTTTTCACAAAATCTTATGAGGTTTTTGAAATTACATAAACACTCTCTAAAATTTCAAATTATTTTCACAAAAGCCTTTGAAGTTTTCGCAAAACCCCTTTTTATTAACTGTTGGTCCAAAACTTGATGATTTCATTTAAAAAGACGTGTGCAAATGACAAAATCGACCATGGTAAAAATAAAATGCAAGGGTGAAGTTGGAAAGTAAATAATTTTTGTTTAAGAAGCTGTTGCCAGCTGGTGTCTGTACGCGGGTTTTTGGTGAAACCCGATCGATCGATGCGAATTTAAAATAAGGTTTTTAAGATTTTAGACATAAAAAAAAATTCACTTTTGGAAAAAGCCAAAGCTTTTTTAAAAAAGACAAAAAAACCACTCAACTTTCAAATCAAAGACATGCAAATGTATTGGATTCCTTAGGAAATCTAAAAATAAATAAGGGCATTTTTGTCTATTTGTGCTTCTTTTAAAATTTTTCTCTCTCCTTTTGCTTTTTCCAAAATGTCCCATTTAAATACAAGTCGGTAGTTGAAATGAAAAGCCAATCTCTGTTTTGATTTCTTCAATTTGGCGCCTTAGCTTCGTCGTTTTCACGCACAGTGAGATACAGGGAAAAATGAGTTCGAGTTCATCGAGCAACATCTTCAGGAACCCTCTTGGATAACAAAATTCCTTATGAGAAAGCCTAATTGGGAGAATGTAAGTGAATCTTTTCTGGGTTCTTTTGCCTTGTTTTGAATTTCAATTTTCCTTGTCTTTTTGGGTTATCTGTCAATTTGCAATTTTAGGGTTTTAATTTGTAAGATTTTAGAGCATTGGGTTGATAATTGAGTCAACAGAGCCGCAATTTCATTTATTATTTCGCTGGGTCTGCTGCTTTTCACAAAAATCAAATGCTAATTATGATACTAAAGCTCATAGCATCAAGGGGAGATCCTTATTCTCATTCAACCTGAGATTTTTTTGTACTAAAGTTCTGGCCTTTGGAGAAACATTGATAATCTGCAGAGATGAAACTGTGAATTGACAAGTAACCCTTTACCCATTTAATAAAAGTAGTGTGTGCAAGAAACTTTACCCATTCAACACTTCCTGAATTTTTGTGTGTGGAACTATGCTTTTTGGGACATATGAAACATAAGTTCATAAGACAGGGATAGTATTTTACGCAAGAAACTTTGCATGTTGGGTTTTTTATGTTGCTGATATTTAACTCTCCCCTGCCTTTCTAGATTGATTGAAATTGTATAAGTAGCAGTTCTGTAAATGGATAGGTTTCCATTCAATTATTAAATTATGCTAATACTTAAATGGGATTCTTCTTGTGCCTTAGAGCATCCACAATGGTTGCTCAACGGTTCATTTCTTGTGCCTTAGGTTATGTGAACACGATTTTTTGTTTTCAAACTTACTCAGTTAATCTAGTTGTCCAATCCAGTGTAGGAGTTAAAAATCCAATATGGTCTGTTTAAGGATAAAATAGGTCTGAGAGATTCACTTTTCTGTCATTTTCTTTGAAACCAAACAGAGGGGTATTAACGTGTCTGGTTTTTGGTTTGCTTCTGACTAATAAATATGTTTGTTATTTACTGTTGGATAGGTTTATACCCAATCGGGCTGCAATGGACCTTGATTACATGCATTACATGGTCACAGGAAGGAGAAAAGGAATCGAGAACCCATGGGCAGCAAGCCCTACATATCAGAAGCTACTGACTGAGACCTTCAACATGAACCGAGCACGGATCTTCACATTCAAGAACAAACCGCCAACCCCAGTTGAAGCCATTCCAAGGAGATTGCTCTCACCCCCTCTTCATAAGGCCAAATCTACCAAGCCCTGTCGAAGAATTCCTAAGGTATAATTGCACTAATATCATCATACTTGAATTTGGATTGTGGACACTTGAATTCCTTGTGAGAATGTGAAGGTGACCATGTCTCACATTGGAAAGTTAGAAAACCTTGCAAGGGCTTATAAGGAGTTGGGCTGCTTCGCCATTGCCAATTGGTTTTGGGGTGCAACCTCAACTTCCTTCTCTCCTAAGGTATAGGTAATGCTAGATTTAAGGGAATGTAAATCCGCCTGTTTAGTGCCTGAAACGATGATAATATGTAGTGTGTGTAGTGATCATCGTATAAGGGAATATAATTTTTCTTAGGATTGTGACTGTAATGATGATCATATTGATTTTTGTGTGTGGCTGTTCTAATTCTTTCAATTTGATTTTGCAGGATCCAGAGAGAACATTGGACGCTTCCGGTATTGTAGATAATTTCTACTTGAATTTACTAGACTGGAGCAGCAGCAACATTCTTGCAATTGCTCTTGGAAACTCAGTGTACCTATGGAATCCTTCTCACCGTTCCATCGTAGAACTTGTCACAATTGATGACGAAGATGGTCCCATTACAAGCATCAGCTGGGTTCTTGATGGGCAGCGTATTGCCGTTGGCTTGAACAATTCCTGGGTCCAGTTATGGGATTCTGTTAGATTGGTAAGAACATTATTGTTGCTTATAATTGTTGGTTGCTTTCCTTATAAAATGAAACCTTGGTTCTAATACTGATCAACTGCTGATTTTGTTACTGCAGAAAGGAACATTGAGAGGTGGGCACCATGGAAGAGTAGGTTCACTGGCCTGGAACAAACACATTCTTACTACAGGAGGAATGGATGGTAGAATTATCAACAATGCTGTAAGAGTGAGATCCCACATTGTTGGAACCTACAAGGGTCATGGGCCCGAGGACGTCTGTGGATTAAAATGGTCACCCTCAGACCAGCATTTAGCCAGTGGAGGAAACGATCATGTTCTCTTCATATGGGACAGGTCAACAGCCTCCTCCAGTTCACCAAGAGAGTGGCTTCAAAGGCTTGAAGACCACACTGCAGCAGTCCAGTCCATTTCAAGAGAATTTTTTGGCCTCTGGTGGTGAACTTGACCTGTGCATTAAGTTCTGGAACACACAAACAGGCTTGTGCTTGAGCTCGGTTGACACTGGCTCGCAGGTGTGTGGTTTTTTGTGGAACAATTATGAGCGTGAATTGCTTAGTTGTCATGGTTTTAGCAAGAATGAGCTTATCCTTTGGAAGTACCGTCAATGGTGAGGACGACAGAGCTAACTGGCCATACCTCCAGAGTTCTCTTCATGACTCAGGTACTAATTTGGACTTTAAATTGCATCTGGCGAATTCAATTCTGTTTGTGTATTTGATTTCATGTATGGTTTTCATTTGGAATAAATTTTCATGGCAACTTCATATGGTAGTTACAGTTGCACATTCTAATTGTTTGTAACCGCTGCTGTTTATGTTTTCAGACCCCAGATGGATGCACTGTGGCCACTGCAGCCGCGGATGAGACGGTTCAAGCTTGGAATGTGTTTGGGATTCCGGGAGTTTCAGAACCCGTACGAAAAGAAAATCTGCTGCCATCTGCTCATTCATACTCCATTCGTTGAAGATCATGTAAATGCTGGAGAGAAGTTTGTCTGTTTTGTCTCGAATGCCCAACCAAACAGATAAGTGTATATGGTGTAAATTATTGTTTACAAGAAAAATAAAAATAAAAATAAATAAATAAATAACAGGTAAGTGTATATGGTTACATGAATAGAGAAAAAGAAAAACGCAGTTTTGATTAGTGATTGGCATGCAGTCGCTCGGTTCAGTATATCTGAATAGACAATATAACTGTATTATCGTGTCATATTGAAGCGACAATTCTGAGTGCGTTGAGAATATTAATGAGTACACTTACACAATACAATCTCTCTTCAGAATATACATTTTTTCTATGGTATGAATGAACACTTACTAAGTACGTGTACAAACACTGACAAATGATCAATCAAAGTGTATTAGACCAAACATACAGTGTATTAAGGACACTGCTTTCCTCTTTCCTGGGAGAGAGGCATTCTTACTTCCTGTAAATAACAGCTTCACACATATGCAAAAATAATTCATTAAAAACACAAATTGAAAAATCTATACACACGTCAAACTGTGATTCGTAGGAAAATATGAGTTCTTACTTTCAAATATACACACACGTCAAACTGTGATTCGTAAGAAAATAGAAGTTCTTACTTTCAAAGAAAAAGGCAATTATGTTTGGTGTATCAAACCTTTAAAATAATACTAAATGACAAATGACTAATCAACGAGTCATAATGACGTAACAAATGTGATATTTTAAAGAGTTCGTACTATAATGAAACCCTAGAGCCATGCCATGTTGCTTTCTCTCTCTAAAAACCCACCTAGACTAGGTCGAGAACCAGCCAAACTCAATCAATAGAATTACATATTGGATATTAAGCCTCATGCACTGCACTATAATTTCACTATCAAAATGGCGTGGACATGCCAAATGAAGAACAACAACTTTATATGTTTTGGCCATTTGTATCCTATCCAGAGCAATGATCGGCTTTTCATATGAACATGTAAGAACACGTTTATCTTTAAAAATATAAAGTTGGGATAATGATATATGTGAAATCATAAACATAACGGACCCATAAATAATCCCTATGGTCTTGTTAGTACGATCGGATAGTCACAAGATAAGGCACAATTCAGATTGAAAGATGAATATAATATTCAAATCTAATCCAAACAAGGGCATGGATTGATGATTGTGGACCCACAAAATCCTCTCAAAAGGATCCTCATAATACGACAATTAAATCTCATACGCAAAGTTTGACTCGAGGTTGAGGCTAGTCTAAAAGTTATCGATATGGACGTCTTCTACTATTATTAAAATAAGGGCAATGATTTTTTCTAAAAAAGGAGTGTAAGTAGATAAAATAGAAAAAAAAAGGAGTGGGGAAATCACCATTCTAAAATAATAGATATCTTGCTTTATATTTCCCTTTTCTTTTTAATATCGCCCTAATAAGTGAATTTAGAACCAATTAAAAATATGTAATAAACTTAGTGGAAATAGAGATAATAGGGTGTAATGGGATGTTTTCTTACACATAAATTCGAATCTCCTTTTTATAATTTAGAATATCGCATTGTTAAAACAAAAACAAAAGTGTGAAGAAATTAGCACTACATGACAATTTAAAATTCTTCCAAATTAAGTTATTCTTATTCATTACTAATTGCTAATTAATCATGCATCCATGTTATGAGTTAGTGTCAACTAATACCAATTTTAACCCTCTCAAACATTGTGTTGGTTTTTTTTTTCTTTTTGTATACAAGCGATATTGAGAAAATGGGGAATCGAATCTAAAATCTCTATTGTAGAAGTAAATACTCTTAATCACTTCAAGTGCAAACCATCAAGTTGGATTTGAATGATGTATTGTGTTACATATGACAAATACCATAACCATGAGGATAAGATAAATTCATGCAAAGTGATAACCCCACTTTTCCCCAATTACTCTCTCATCCTTGATGTGGTATGCTCCACAACTTATATATTCTTGAAATTGTTAATAATACACATTACGATTAATAAACACTAGCCCCTAATTGGTTTTGTTTTTTTAATTTTTATTTTAGAATTAAGAAAATATAAAATGGTAGTTATGTTCCATACAAGTAGGATCCATTATCTAATTTTGTTTTTAATTTTAATTTTAATTTTTCAATAAGAAAAATTTAAATTGACCTTATTATTCTCATTTAATTAATAATTTTAATTTATAATGTTTGCATTAACCAAAAACATTTTCTGATATTTTGAATGTTTCACCTGTCTTTTGCTTTATATATATAGACATATCTTGCTCAGATTCTCAAGAAAACACGCTATATATATATATATAGATATATCTTGCTCAAATTTACAAGAAAGCATGCTACTAGCTATATAGATCTAAAAACTCGTGTACAAATCAACATACAACAACCTCAAACACTTAGAATAAATAATTAAATCAAAGTTCTAGGAACTGAACAAACATTACATGCATGATGATGCTTAATTTAGTTGGAGTTTTCAATCATAAATCTTTTAATAAATTGCAAAGCTTCATTTGAGACTTCTGAGTATGGATCAGCCGTCAAAAACCCATGTTGTTGTCCTTCAAATTCCACATACTCAATTTTCTTCCCCAACTCTTCCAGCTTTCTCCAGTAGCTCTCCACCCTATCTTTCAAAATTTCATTGCCACCCACAATAACCAAGATTGGATCAAGGGCCACTTTCTCTAGGGTTGGGCTGTTCGGTCCAAATGGGTTCACCAGTGGGTGGTCTCTGGTTTCTCCTGCTGGCATTGAGAGTCTCCAAAATCTGTATGGCAATTAAGTTAAAGAAGAGTTAGCGATGAAATTATGAGTTCAAATCTCACTAACGACAATTGTTTCGATCAAATTAATAATTTCTTTTCTTAGATATCATATCTCATGATAGATTTCTATGTATTTAGGGTCAAATACGTGTACAATATTGGAACCATCAAATAATTATTGGTTAAGGGGAGTTGATAATGGATATAGCACTATCTTAAGTCATACTCATCTTGGATTAACCACTACTTACATGACAATTAGGCTTACTCGCTTATGTTATCAGATAATATCAAGGGCTATCTAGCTTTATATCTTAATCACTTCGGTCATGCTTAGACTGGATTAAGCACTATATATCTTATGTATTAATAATGATTAATTAGTGGTAGGTCATTGAGATTATAATTATTATTTTGAAATTGCCAATGCTTTGATTTATTATTTGGATAAGACACCTCCAATATTAAATGGTGTCAAGATCACACTCACACGTAGAAGGAAAATGAATTTCACATCATCAACTTTAGAGGGATTTGGAGGTGCATATTCTATTTAGACCATAAAAGCTAGTCTAGACTCTAGTCTTGGTCTTGTTAGAGGACAAAATTGCAATCCACATGTGCAACATCTTTTTTTTTTTTCAGTCAAGATGATGGAACATTTTTAATTTTCATTGACAAAGAACCCAGACGATACATGTCCCTAGTCAAATTTGATTGAATGGCCTCATATCAGAAACCTTAATTTGGATGGTTTTGGTTTTAGTCAAATTTTACTCCGTGAGATTATCATTTCTTCGTTGCTAATAAGTTTGTTGCTTTTTGGATCCTTATGGATAAAAATGAAGGTGAATAAAAGACAGTCCCGACGCATAAGTAGCTAAGTATTTTTATTTTCAAAATACAGATTGTCGAAAACGGGAAAATTCTTAGCTTAACACATTAAAATTTGTGTAGAAGAAAATGTTTTCTTATTATCTTTTAAATTTAGGTTTTCAAAGAGGAACCACTAAAATGAATATATTTTGTTGGGTTAATCGTTTTATTAGTCTATGAACTTAGACCCAATTTGTATTTGAGTTCCTCAAGTTTCAAAATCGTTCCGTGGTCCTCTAACTTCACTTTCGTTAAGACAAATGGTCATGCTGTCAATTTTGTTAACCTTTTTTGTTAAATACAAGGGCAAAATGGTATTTTTATATTAAAACAAAATAAATAAATAAATAATCATATCTTTAAAATAACAATAAAAGAAAATCAAATAAAAAACCCAAAAAAAAAAAAATCAAGTTTAGGGGAAGTAGAAATCGGGATAGAGGGGTGGAGAGAGAGCTTAATTTTAGTTTTTTAATTTTTTTATTCATATTTTAATCAAGTTAATACAAAAATACCATTTTGCCCTTATATTTAACAGAAAAGTTAACAAAATTAACGGTAAGACCATTTGTCCTAATGAAACTGAAGTTGAAGGACCACATGGACGATTTTGAAAATTGAGGAATTCAAATACAAATCATATCTAAGTTAAGAGATTAATAAAACTCTATTTTTTTTAATATGTAATCTAGATTGAATCTGTACCGTTGAGCAAACTAACAAAGGGACAAAAACTCAAAACAAACGAAAAAAAGGTTTTGAATTACCTGTCAAGTATGTCCAAACTCAACAATGCCTCACAAGGCCCCTCCTCTGACCTTGTCCTCTCCACCCCACCAAAAAATGGCGCTAGTAGCACATACCCACGTACCCGAACCGGGGCCACCTTGGCCGACCCGGCCTCGAGCCGAACCGCCAGGTGGTGGGCTATATTCCCGCCAGAAGAGTCGCCCACAATGAAAACCCGGTCAAAGTCAGCGGTATCACCCATCCATGCATCACAATCGCCACTTTTACTCATCAAAGCCTCCCTTTGCAGCCACTCCACCGCACTCACCGCATCATCAATTGGCGCTGGGAGCTTGTGCTCCGGCGCAAGCCTGTAGTCCGGGGCAACCACAAGAGCGTGGAGCCCGGCGGACAGGCGGAGGCAGCAGTTGTGGCAGTTTGGCCACACACATGAGCCGACACAAAAACCGCCACCATGAAAGTAGAACACCACGGGGAGCTTAGAATTGCGGTTTGCCGATTTGGGTTTGTACAAACGGAGGGAGAGGTTATGTCTTTTGTTGAAAGTGACGTCTTTGAAGGCCACAGAGTGGTCATCAACGACAGGAATGTTGAAGTCTATGTCCATTAAAGAGCAACGGTTGATCGTACCATCGCTAAAGACTTGTAGGACTCCCATGCAGTCTTCTACTATGTGAGGGAGGGAGCCCATTTTGGTAATTTTGTGTGTGGAAGATGGTCTGGTTGGAGAAATGGAGGGTGAACTGAAGTGGGAAGGTTCATGGTTGTGGGGTATATATATAGACTAGAGAGGACCAACGACTGAGATATTGAAGGGTGGTGGTGGGAATAGAGTGAAATTT